AGCAGAATGCCAATGAATCTGTAGCTTTGTTCCTCCAGTGAAGTCAGGGAGGATTACAGGAAGCATGCTGCCCACAGCCCAGGAGACTAACAATGTAACTAGCTGCTCTTATCGGTGGCCTTCAGTTGGCATTCTTTCCACTGATACAGTATTGTCATCACATCAGGCCTATTAAAAGACTCCCTATTCTCAGCCACTTTAAAACACAACAAGGCAGACTGGATGAAACCAGGTTCCTGTGAAAAGACGCCCTCGTTCTGGAGTTACTTTGAGTTTAGAAATTGTTTGTTTGCATTCGGACTCGCTTTGGAACTGTAGAACTTCATAATGCAGACATGAAGGGAACCTTCATGGTAGGATTATGATGGTATGTTAGTGTCGGTAAACCAATCTGCATATCTTGCAAACACACTCTGAAAATGCAAGCTTAAAACTCACCAAGATAGTTTAATGTTGAACCGCCTGTAGCATTCCAATAAGCTGTAAAGACGCTGGTTTCAGTAGACGGTATGTAATCTGTATAGTATAATTTATTCACCGTTATGTTTCCTCTCCTCAAATGCATTGAAATCTGAAATCTAGACCACATAAACATCCAGAACCACTGCTGAGCCACATTTTTTGCAGTGTCCAAAATACCACCAACACGTCCACTTTCTCCAGACCTCCCAGTGGGACTCTCCAGCTAACTCTGGAGGATCCCAGCGCATTCCCAGGCCAGAAGTGACATAAAGTTTGACCAGAGAGTTAAAGGTCTGCCCTGGTGTCTTCTCACATTGGGATGTTCCCAGGAAACCTCAGAAAGCAGACATGTTTGGCCATGATCCATATCTCAAGATCATATGAGGTATGGTGAGGCAACGTAGACCAATAAACCAAGACAATCGATTCTTTGCTCGGCTTGTTCTTTAGTATCACAGACTGGATCAGACAAGAGTCAAAACTGTCTCCAACTCTACTAAACCATCACTCATCAACAAGACACTTAGATTCTCCATCTTGAGGTAGAGGCTAACCCGAATAGAGAGGCACTCCTTACTGCAATCTAACACCGCAGCCTCAGACTTACACCCATCAGGTTACACTAGAGGTGCAGAGTATTAGGAATGTTACTGTTGAGTCTTGCTCCCTACTTCTCACTCACCACTCTCGTTCTTCCATCCTCATAATGTCCACAACACTCTCCCTGAACTTCCTCTGTCACCGAGATCTTCATCAGGTGAAAGTTCACCCAAGAGGCCAGACACGTTACCGGAAAGCCGCCATGCCTGAAGGTAAGAGTGAGACTCTGGTGGAGGCAACAGGACTTGAACAGGCGGAAAGAGACCAACGGGGACAATCGACTAATGTTCACGCTTTAATGGAAGGCAAGTGGTTACCTTTGAACCGATTTTGCAGGTGAGGAGATGGCGGTGCAGTTCTTACGGTCCAAAGAATCTGGACGAAAGAGGAGGTTAGTGAGTTCTCTAAGATTGAATTCAGCAGAGAGGTGAGGATGTTAACTGGTTGGTTGTTTTCCTGTTTTAGGTCCTAGACAGAGGTGATGGTGGTGAACTTTGGACGGTGGACTGGCAGGAGGAGCTTAGTGGTGAATACCGAGCGGTGAGAAAAGCGAACACCTTACCCTTTATCCTTTATTTTGATTCCTATAAATGGTATGTTCTCTGTTTGCTGTAAACATGTGAAAGCAAAGTCAAATTTCCTCTTTGTGAACACAGTTTTGGCCTTTAAAGATTTTTTTTTTTTCGCTCTCTCTTGTCTGATGAATGCCAGAACCTTTTGTCTTTTGTTTCCCAATAGATTACTGGCTACATTATTAACAGCCATGAGGATGTCGCTGGTTACAAGTTCTCTTTCTTCTGACTTTGTTTTGCTAACCCTGACTCCTGCATCCTGAGAATAAGTAACAAAAGGAGCAGATATGAATGTATCTGTTGTCTTTACGGGTCTCCAGTTCAACACGGGACATGAAGACGTATCTTTAGTCCCCGTCTTTGATGTTCCTCAGCCACAGCCAAGTTCTAATCTCCTTTTTGAACTTTACTTATTCCTGCTCTTAATGTAATTTCTCTTAAAGGCACCGTTGTTAATGAAGAACCTTTCTGTTCATCACAGCTTATGCAAGACTGAGAGCGACGCAGTTTGACGTAACACACATCAAATATCTGATTTACTGCTGTTATTCAGAGCTGTGTGATTTGATTAACGGTTTTTTTAAGAGCTCTGATTGGCTGTTCACAGCAAGACAGAGGAGCACAATTGGACGATTGGCTGTCTGAAGGGTTTGTGGGGCGTCTTTGACTTGCGTTCGGACGAGTTGGACTGGACCAGTGGAAAAATATCTGATCTATTTATAAAGGCCCATTTAACTGAAATGGGTCATCTGTGGCCAGCACAAGAACACAGTCCACATGTCGACATCCATAACGAATACTTCTGTTGACATAAAACCACAAAAAAAAAACTCAAGTTCTGTCACAGATTGTCCCAGAGGTTTTCTTTTACGCTTTTATTTTAAGTCTTGGACTTTTTCTTGAACGTTTTTCCATATTTTGGCAAATTACAACCACAAACCTCTACATATTTTAATGGGATTTTAGCAGATGGGCTGACTCAAAGTAGTGTTTAACTGTAATGTTGAACAAAAACAACTTCTTGTTTTTCAAATGTGAAAACAAAATCCTGAAAAGTGTGGCATGCAGTTGTATTCCACCCCATCCATGCCTCTAAATCAAATCCAAAGCAACCGGTTTCCTTCACCAGTCACTTTATTTACTTTTATACTCAGTTTGCAGTTTTCAAGAAATCATATAAGGGACACAGCAAATATGTAAATGTTAAATTTTATAATCTAAAGTCCGTGTAAAGCAAAGCTACTTTTACTGCCTTTATTAGTAATCTGATGTGAAGATGCTCTCAGGAAGGAGATATTTCGCTTTTTTCAGCTTTAATATTAGTGTAAAGACAATATGTCAGTAGTTTCACAGATATGAAGAGGAGCTGATGTTTTTAAATAAAGGCCAGTAAATAAAAGCGGGTTCATGTCGTCACTTTAAGTGTTTCACATTAAACTTGCAAACTACAGTGAAAGAAAATGAAGTAGCGCTCCACAGCGCCGAGAAACCAACACTGACGCAAAGTGCCGACCCAGAGCAGTCAGTCGGTCGTTGACTTCACAAGCCGTTAAAAGTCTGAATTAAGCTGAAATTAAACGCAGAGCCTGACGGGATGTTTTCACAGCTTCTCGCCACACCGGCCGTGATCTTCACGTGATGCAGAACCGACACGTCTCTCACAGAATACTTTGATGGATTTTTTTTTTTTTTTTCCTTGCTCCCACACACAGTCGCCACTTCTGCTTTATGCTACACTTAATTTCTAACTGGAGGGATCCGGGTTACTGTTTTGAACGTCTTAACTGCATGCAGAGGTGGTAAAACAGCGCCACCCTGAGGAGAACAATATGAACTGTGTTGGTAAGAAAACTTTTTGCTGCTTTTTTGGTTTTCTGTGAAATGTGTCTTTATGTTAAATTATAATATGATGTGTCATTTACTGTGAGAACTTCGCCATGGTTCTCTCATCCTCATGACAGTCGCATGCTTCACAACTATTCACAGTAATGATTTTACTCATGACAAAATGTTGCAACAGTTTAATACTCATACACGAGTCAAAGTAGTAGTATGTCTTTTTACACATTTTATATTTGACAAAATAGGAACAAAAAAATCAGTTTTATCATTAATGGTTATTAATGCTGGCTTCATTTTGCTTGAAGAACATGCGCTCTCTCAAATTTCATCCAAAAATAACAATGATTCCATTTTCTTAGAATCATCTTTTAGAAACTTGGAAGAGTTTCTGCAACCAGCAGGCTGGTCAATTCACTACTTGACAGCAATGAAGTCAAAAAACAAACGAGGCATAAAAAGAAAAAGAAAGAAAAAAGATTGAAGGAGGATAGCGCAGCCTTTTGTCAGCAGAAGTTTCCAGGACGGTCCAAATTTGGACTTCCTTTGTGAAATTGTACCATTTAAATCGGACAGAACAGAAATAGAAATGTTCTTAATTTAACCTCGGTGAGGGAGTAAATAAATCTAACGGGTCTTAATCAAGCAAAACAGAGATGTTATTGTCTGTGATGCATAATGAGGCTGGAAAAAGCAAAAGAAACAACAACAAAAAAAAAAAACAGAGAAAAACAAAGAGAAAATGAAAGGTTTTAGGAGTTAAAGGTGTAACCAAGACGACGGGAAACCAGGAAACACAAACCACTGAAACCACGAGGAGAATCCTACTTCATCAAAACAGTTGAACTCATTGTGAAACTGAAAATTAGGAAGAAGCAAAACAGAAAAAAAATTCTAACATTTTATCTTGCAACAAACATTTACTATCTACTAGCTGACCAGTCATGCTTTTTCAAAACATCTTAGTTGATTTTCAACAGCAACTGGTTGCTCTTCAGCTCAAACCCTGTTGTCGCACTGCAGGCACAACAAATCCATTTTTACAGATTTTAACTCATAAAAAGGTTGAAAGTCATGCGTCGTTTTCCTTCAGCTCAGCCCCACATTTTGTTGGTTTGTGACTTAAAATCTCGAGAAAACACGTCGACGTTTGTGGTGGCGACGTGTCGAAATGCGAGAACTTCGAAAGGAACGCTACGCAAGGCCGTGTATTTTTATTTTTATGTTTCTTTTTTTGCTGTTTTTTTTTTTTTTATATACCTCAACGCAGATAGGAAACAGACGCTTCACCTCTGCTGGCCTGGTTCAGGCTGTGAAACCACAAGCAGAATCACCTCTAGCTGTTGCTTGCAAGGGTGTGAAAACTCTCCCCCCACAGTGGGACACTGCAGCCAATCTCTTAACACGCCAAGTTACAGTTTGCAACCACTCCAACTGTGAGATAAGGCGGGTAAAGCCACTGTAATTCAACTTTTATCTGAATATTGCATGTACAATACCTTTTTTTTTTAGACTTTATTATACATTTCTGGCAACTTTAAGCATTTCTAGTATTAAGATAAAGCTCATCATGTCAACCTTTGTGACCATGAGAGCGCTTGCTTTGCTCTGCTTCATTTTAAGGTCTAAAAAGTTCATGTTGATGCCTCCTAGAAGATGCTTGCTGTTGATGTTTTCCTCTTTAAGACACCAGAGGAAGTGTGCAGTTTAAAAAAAAAAAAAAAAAACAGCCCCGCAGCACACGTACGTGGCAAGACAGGAAATAACCTCAATGTTGGAAAGTTCTGCTCAAAGCGATGAGGACGATGAAGAAGATGGCCTCGCTGCTGAACATCTGTGTGTTTCTGCTCTGCTGCTCCGCCGCCGTCGCCTCCCAAGGTGAGATGTTGGACTTTTTAATGAGAGTTTAAAGGAGTGGATCAGATTATGTGCGACTGCGCTTTCATTTCTCTAACTTCATGTTTTTATTTGCAGATCTTTGCTCTGATGCGTCTCTAAAACGCCAAATTTTTCTCAGTGAACCTGTCAAAAGCCAACAGAACTGTAACTTTAAAAACAAAATAATCGTTGAATTGCAAAACTCAAGTTTTTTTTTTTTTTTTCCATTTGAACAATTGAGTGGTTTCATAATTAAACACTGTCAGCTCACAAACCTGAATAAGACGTCTCCTGTGAGTTGATGTGGTCTCCAGGTGTCGAGATCAAAAGAGTTATTTTTTTTTCTCAATTTATTTCAACACCATCATAATTCTGATGGCGTCATGCGTATATTTAAGCTTTTATGTGAAATTTGATCCCTGGCAGTGCAACAGATTCATCTTTCTCTTAAAAAGAACAATCCAGAGTTTTTGTGGGGGAAATAAATGAAAACATGAGCAATAATTTCACATTTTTCCCGCCGTTACCGTCTTTTATATTCTGCAAAATTGTACTGAGATGCATACAATCAGATAGGATGCAAATTTGAAACCAGAATTGTGCAGCGACCTCAGTGCATAAGAGTCCACCCCCTTTACGACAACGCTAGACTTTTACCTCAGATCGTTTGAATCTTCCTCAGTTTTAAGGCCGTCTCTTGTTGAATCTCGCATCGCTTTTCGTCCTCAGCGTGAACTTTTTACAATTTCATCCACTTTGGAAAACAAAAAAAAAAATCCAAATGCCTTCTGTACATAAGTTGTTTTTTTTTTTTTACCCATGTGAAGAAGCTCTGACTTTGAACGTAGGCGGATTTTATTTCCACCAGGCCCACATCAAACGTTGCAGATGTAGAAGAATCAAAGTGGATTGCATAAAGTTTGCATTGATCTTTAAACTTGATTTCTGAAACATTTCTCAGGACATTGCAGTTCTTACTTTGCTGCACCCATAGCAGAAATATAACATCTTGGTGGAGAGCAAAACACACAACTGATGTTTCTATTGAAAGTAGATCACATTAAAGAAATGATTTACTTGTATTCAGTTTTAACAGTGTCATGTCAGCTGCTTGGATGTAGTTTTTAGTATCAGTGAAGGGGAGGAGAGTTGGATCATATCAGCGTTTTGTTTTTCGAACTTGGTTGACTGTGATGTGATTGAAGCCTGTTTTTTTACTTTCGTTGCTCTTTCTGGTTTAAAGGCTGCAGCCATTTTGTTGCAACAAGCTAAAGCGTCTTTGTTTCTCCAGGATACAAACTGAAGTCGACTGATAAACTGACTTTTTCTGATCCCAAAGGTTGTGACCAGTTTGTTGCAGTGGGTGGAAACTTCAATGTTCCTCTGGGATACCAACTAAAACCTGCTGATTCTCTGAAGTGGAGATTTAATGGCATCATAATATTTCATAAAAGACCAGTAACATTAATTCTAGGTAAAAATGATGATATTAATGATGATGGGTCCCTCAAACTAACAAATCTGAAGAAGAACCAAGCAGGACTTTACACCGCTGAGGTTCATGGTAAAAACGGAATGCAACAGGACACAAAGAGCACAAATTTATGTACACTGGGTACGTATAAAATTGGTTACATATTCCTCATTGAGTCAACAATAACCTCTATTTACTCTTTTTCATCGTCTTGCTTTGAAGAACTTTAACTCATCGGTTCATGTAACTGTGACTCCTGAAGCTGTCAAACGTGCCGCTCACTGTACTATTTTTACGAGGTCAGAGTTTAATGTGTCATGTTTGATCCCACTCAGACCCCGTGAAGAAGCCCACAGTAAATATAACCTGTCTGGCCTCAGAGGTCGTCTTTACCTGCAGTCATGATCCGGTAAGGAGATTATTTTGGTTTATTATTTTAAAAAATGTAGAAAAAACAGGACAGAACAATATGGAGTTCTTTATATAACCTTAGAGAGCTTTAATAATGCAATCAGATCTTAACACAAAATAACTATCCAAAATGCAGTAAATGTAACATCTTGAGACATTTTTACAATTTCATGTTTGCAAAGGATGAGAAAAATGAAATAATAGATTAAAATACAAATAACATATCTTCCCGATTGATATTCTTTGTGACTTTCTAATCTTTTTTTTTATTTTAATGTTTTCATTATTCTCCTTTATCAGCAACCTGATGGTACAAAACAATATGACACCATATATTACAAATGGTTCTATGATGACAAAATGATCAGCAATGGGACAGAAACCTCCATGACAAGAAAAGCTGCAGAAACTGAAAACCTGCTCGTTTCCTGTGAAGTTGGCAACAAAGTCAGTTCTGCAAGAAGTGACTCTTTGACTCACACCTGCGATGGTAAGAAAATCACAGCTGTGGTAGCACAAGATTATTATTATTATTATTTTTAATTAATTTAAACCTAAATTCATCTTCCATCTTGTATTTGATCCATCAAATTTAATTTCATTTCCCTGCTTGTTGTTGTGAAATGAAGCTAATAAAGAACTCTGGAGGCTTCAACGTGCGCAGAACGTCAGAAGCTCGCTGTATTGTTTGTCAGGATTTAAAATTTTAAATTTTCATCATTCTAACATGTTTTTTTTTTATGCAATTACAGTAAAACCCTTGAAAAAGCCTGAAATACAAGGAACATGCAAAGACTCAGAGGTCATCATTACCTGCCATGCACCTCCGGTGAGATTTTATTTAATTTATTTTGTTGTTAAAAGCAACTCTGGGGTCTTTCTGTGTAACTTTAGAAACTTTTGTAGGCCTCAAATTCTCAGGAATCATCTTTGATGCAAATTAACGTTTTCCAAAACTGAAAAACAACCCATGAATGCAGACACCTTTTTGACATTCTGAAGTTATTTCTTCTCATTTAATTCAGGCTGCAGTTCTCCTGAAATGTTTTCCTGTTTTTTCCTGTCCAACCTGAACCTAACTTGTTCTCCTGATGGTCTCTTAAGCACGTTTTGATCTCGTTCTCCTGCAGCTGCCTGATAATGTTCAGTTCAAGTGGTTCCAGGATGGCGAAGTCATCGTCAACGAAACAGAAAAGTCTCTGACAATAAACTCTGCAGAAAGCAAAAACAAGAATTTCTCCTGTGAAGTTTACAACCAGGCCAGTTCTAAAAAAAGTGACTCTTTTAGTCATAGCTGTGTTGGCTCTAGTAAGTATATGCAGCACTTATTACATTATAAATGTAGAATGTGGCTCAGCTAATAGCCTTTTCTTCATCTATAAATTGGAATAGTCACAATAATAAACCGTATGTTATTTTGTAATGACGTGTGTTTCTAATTTTATACTGTGATTCTTTTATTTAAGCTTTTCTTGACCTCCCAGATGAGCTCTTTGGAGTTAGCATCTGGGTTTATATTGGTGGTGGAGCAGGTGAGTTCACTAAAATAGCAGAAGTAAACTTGTATAATTCATACTTATTTTATGTGACTTTTTTGTGTTTCCATCTGTTTTAGGTCTTTTAGTTCTGATCATCATCCTCATCATTCTGTGTTGTGTTCAATGTAAGAAGAAAAGAAGGAAGTACGGTAAAGTGTTTAGTCCACTTCTATTTTAGTTGTCTGGATAATAACTTAAAACTCTCTCAATTAATGCAGACTTGTTCAAATCAACTTAAGCTAATTTGATTAATCCACCATCATCCACTGCTTCCTATACATTTCTGATATTAAATCTCTGGAGTACCCCAAGGCCTGCTGCTCGGCCCACTTTCATTGTTTCCTCTTAGTAATTGGAAAATTAAACAAAAAATCGAATATGAAAATGAACACTGAATGGTTATTGCACTTGTTTTAATCTGCTGTTCAGTTTTTTAACTATAATAAAATGTTTTATTCTTGAAAATCCTGGCTAACCGTTGTGTCTGCCTTCTGGTTTGATCAGAACTAGAAAATAAAAGCTCTGCTCTATTTCACACTTATCCTTCCTCTGACTGCTGATTAACGCCTGCTGCTGTTTTCTGAACAGATGAGGCGGAGCTTGAGTACCGAGCAGGAAATTCTTCATCACCAGAGTATTGCACTCACTGATCATCCTCCTCTCCATCACCACCATCATCACCTGCAGAGCCTCTGAAGCTGCAGCTCTTTACAAACATTTCCCTGATATTTTATGGAGTTACTTTTTAATCTGTATGATTAATCTGTGAAGACCCCACCTTCTATAGCAGTGGCATTTGTAGCTTGTTCTGCTAATGAACAGACAGAAGTCTTCTTTATGTTTTAACTCAAAACATTTTTGGATTTTCTGTTTCTCTTTTAGCTGCAAACTTTGATAATCAAACTAATAATCACTTTTGTGTGTATAACCCGCCATGTAAAATATTCCGTTTTTATTTTTAATTATTCAAACTAGTTTCACGACGATGATGATGAATTGACGTCTCTGTTTTTTTCTTTGGCAATTTTTGTTGTTGCCTTTTTTCTCAATAAATAAAACCAAACGTAAACTTGTAATTTCTTTAAATGCTGTCAAATAACTTTCAACTGGTTGCATTTAATAAACACATGACAGTGCTACTGTTTTGATATGAGCAGCTAGACAGCAGCCAAGTCTTTTGATATTTTTTAGACCTTATTCAGTTCAGAGAAGTTTTTTTTTTTTATTATTATTATTTTAATTTCTGCAGGTTTGAGAAACAGAACCAGTGCTGATCTGGACTTTTAACATGATTTCCCATAAAAAACAAAAGCAGAACTGCATCTGCTAGACTCTGCAACCATCACCACTCCTGTTGAACTCTATACGTTGTTTATGTGGTGGGATGGTGTTCCACCCTCACCACTCTGCGCACCAAGTGCAGCCAGAAGCGCACGGTTGATTGGTGGGCGAGGCAGATGACTTTATAGCTGAGCAGGCCGCTGCATGGTGTGTGTGTCTTTGTTTCTCCTGATACATGTTGGCTTGTGTTCTTGATCGGCTCATCTGAGATCTTAAGTGTCAGTATTGCAATCAGTGGCTGGGATTATGGTTGGTTTTTGGTTGCTACACCTAGTGATGATGGGCAAATGGAGCCTCATGAAGCAATGAATCTTTCCAACCCTTTGCAAAAAGGTTCATTACTCGATGCTTCATTCGTCACTCACTAGTGACATCTGCTGGTGAAACTGACAGCCTTGTCACTCAGTTGGAACTTTTTTCCAAAAATGAGCAAATGCAATATTGTCACAAAGTTTTCCTCAAACTCATGTTTAGTAACAGGAGAATCGATGAAACCATATTTAATTGGCATTCGTTTTAATTATTAAAATGATTTGCAGCCAATCTAATCCTGGTTTATGTTGAACGTCAGTGGTTGTGTTGGGTTTTCTTTTATGTCATAGACTGATTTGACAATAAAGACAATTGATGTTTTAGTGTCTTGGGAGTGCAGTGCCTGTTGGGGCGTTCACTTTTTCTTGAATTTCTAATTGGCTCTGATCCCTTAAATGTGGCTACATGTTGAATTTTAGTTCTGCAACAGGATTAAATCTGTTTCTGCTGTGCGAGACCGATATATATTTGCTAATCAGACTACAAATAATAGTGGAACTTTGCAGCAGAAGGTGAGAAATTGGGAGTTGGAGGGGTTAATTATTGTTTAAGAAGAATTTTATTGTGAGCAATCATCTCAAAGTATTCCCAGATGTTATTCTTGCAGGCAATCAATCAAGTTTATTTGTTGTAGCACATTTCAGCAACAAAGAGATTTGCATCATGAAATCACAAAAATATAAAGTCATAAAAAAAAACACCATAATCGACAATTGAGAAAACCAGTAACAAACATTACATTTTGATGAGTGCCATCATCAAACACATCAAATATGTTGGTCAATGTTCATTTATTTTGGCTACTGAAGACAAATATTTTCCTCTGATGCGCGACCAAATGGACAACAACCCACAGACATGAACACGTAGACGCCTGATGGAGCGGGTCGGTCCGTTGCTGCGATACGTAACAGCGTCTGTGGTTTTGAATGTGGTTAATACGTACCAGTAAGGCTAATACAAGTGAATGGACCGAACTTCAGAAAGTGCCATTCTATAATTATTTTAAGTTAATACCCGTCATTGACACATTTTCTCACACATATTAATATATTTGGCAATCAAAGAAATGACTAAAGACAGATCTGTCTTTAGTCTTTAAGTTTCTAACTTTTGATGTGATTTTTTTAATTGCTTTGGGGCATTTCTGAATAAAGAGCACAATGTTTTTATTTGATAGCAATTATTCTGATAAATGTTATCATGACATTGATGAACAGACACTTTTACAGTGTTTAATTAAAGAACAAGAGACTGAACAACAACTTCTCTAACAGCGGTTTCTCATCAGCTCTCATTAGAAAACAGAGTGAAAACATTAGCTGCTACGCTAACAATCAGTTAGCGTATATAGCAATTTAACTACATAGGAAATATTTTTCGGTAGAAGTGAATTTCTGGCTGCAAAGTCAAGTAATTCTGATCTTTCATCCTTACCTGCGAAAGGTAATGCCAGTGAATCCAGTTTGTTTCGCGAAACGGTTGAAGCAAGTCGACACAGCTCAGGACGCAAGGAGCTCCGATCGCTCTGCTGCAAGATGGCGGACTCAGCGCTTCATGAGGCGTCTAGGTATTCACGTCTATGCAACAATCCATGAAGCAGGATGGCTCATCGCGCTTTTATTTTGAAAACCGACACGCAAAATGAAGCAGTCACGTGATCCACGTAATGCGAGGCATCGTTTGTTGCCAGTCACGTGGTTTTCAGCAAGACGACACAAGCCAAGAAGCGGGGCTTCATCTGACACGCCCCCTTTCTACTCGGTTCACGCCTCGAAGCCTGGATTCAGATGAGATGTCCCATCACGAGCTGCGCCCGTCGTGCGTTTCTGCAGCGTTACAGGTGTTCTGGGGGTTGTTGCGGCTTCCATCTAGTCCGCACCCGCTGACAGAACAGGTGTTCAGGCTGTGTTTCCACTCCTGGGTAAGCCACCGCTTTAGATATTAATTTATTTTACCTGAATCCACAGTAATGGGTTTTCTGTTTCAGTCACCTCGTAAATGCATTTACCTCGTAAATGTAGCATACCTTGTGGTAATGCCGCAGCGCATGCGCATTACCATAAGGTATGTTGGATTTACGGGTATGACAGACGGTCAGAACACCAACGATTTGTTCCATTGCTTGGAGTGTTTTTCTTATGTTTTGTCTTTGTTGTGCATTGTTGAAATCACTAATTTGTTTGATTTACTAATTTGCATTCTTTTGCACTGCATATTTTGTTTTATTTTTTTGGAATAGTTGAAATTGTCTTTACTTGTTTCCTTTTCTTTTCAAGGACCGAGTTGTAGGCCTGAAGCCACGTTTTTAAAAGAGAACTGTTTTAAGAATATTATTAAAATACTGTGCACTATTCAGTTTGTGTTCTGGTGCATCTTATACATAACTTTTAAAAGAATCTCCCCCTGCTGGTCACATTTACATTCTTGATGCAGTTTTCTACATTCTAGTCAGTAGTCTGGTTATTTGCACAAATTTCTTTGCCAGTTGCACATTTCGGAAATATTAGATGATCGATGTGCAGCATTAAAACCACAAAAGCTTTGAATTAGCTTCCCTTTGGAATCGATAAAGAATTTCTTAATTGAATTTGCTCCTCCTTGAAAGAGCTCAAACCTTCATTGCATGAGAACAGCCTGGTGTTTAACGTGGAGGGGGTGTTAAATTTTTTGTTCTGTGAGCCATGACTTTAGGCCACACCAGAGGAAGTGGTTATAAACCGATGATAGAAATACATCTACCTTACCATTTTGAAGTGTCAGTCTTCTGTTGAGCTGTGACTCTGTGAGCGTTTAATCCGTTTGAAAGCAGACGAACTTGAAGAACTTCCAACAAGTGAGGAGATCACTGGTGAAGATGGCCTTGGCGTCTGTCATCACTTTCTTCCTGCTCTGCTGCTCCGCCATTGGCTCCCAAGGTACAGATCTGTTACAAATGTCTCTTGTTAATGTTTCTAGGTTTCAATTTTAAAGGAATATAAAGGATCAGATTGGATGAGTGTGAATAAGGATGTTTCTCTCTGATTTGAAGGT